CATACTTATGTATTTTCAAGACTGTTCTCTGCCATTATTTACACACATGCTCATAATACAGCAGACACTGTCATTGTTATACTTGAAACAGGTAATCGGCCTAGTAGGAACTGTGAACTTGCCTGTGCAAGTTTTGATATATTCCAAGATCTTTTTTTTTCTATGTGATTTATCCAATTCAGGATTTTTGTTTAATGTAATGTAATCTTTTTTTCTGTTTATCTGTGATGGATGTACTGTGCAGGTGGAAAAAGCATAAGATGGGCATGTATGGAGGTGAGTAGCATGTGGTGTCCAGATGCTGTCAATAATAAGGTCATATGGAGGAGAAACAGAGAGACAAAAAGAGAGAGTGAGCCTTGAGAAGTCAGATAATGAGCTGGAGACTTACAATAAACTTCAAAAAGGTTTTTATAAGCAAAGTCCTGCTTCCTCCAAGCACAGCAGGAGCGCACGCATACATTCAAATCTAGAGTTAAATATCCTGCTATACACACACATGCAGCCCTAAACACTTTTCATCACCTTTATCATGAGGTCCACTTAAGTGAAATAACTTTCAGTAGTAAAATTTGTTTAACAGTGAAATATCAGATTACTTGCTGCTTAGACTGAGGATGTATGTCCTAAACATAAAAAAAGAATATATATCAATACACAGGGGGAAAGTGCCTAAATAATTCCACCTGGACCATATTCACAAAATGAAGTGATTTAACGTGGTCAGTGTGTCAGATGTCTGTTGTGGCCCTTGGGTGTGGAAATTTGTTAGAGATCGAAAGGTGAGAGTGAAAGGTGAGGAGAATGTGTCTACCCGGATATATAACAGATTGAACCTTCAGAAACCAGAAGTTTGAGTCATTCATAGACGGGTTCCAATTCTTCAGGCTGTTTGCTTGTCCGGTCATGAATATGAATGTTGACTCCTGCAGCCAGAGCTAAGACACAGGCTCAAAGACTTCAGACAGGCAGAAATTCACTGACTTCAAAAATGGCTTGATTTTTCATTATACATTGTTCTTTTGATTTTGAGAAATATGATCCAATGTTTTCTTCATACAGACATAATGTAATCATAGTAATATAGCATAAAGTCATGCAGAAATCATAAATCTCCATACCCACCAGAGATTGTTGCACACTTTGTCATGGATCAGCATAACCCAAAATGCAACGTTTGGAGGGTTGGAGAGCACATGTGGAATCATTAACCATAAGAGAGTCATTTACAGAGATGCAGCGTGCCCATTTATTCCAAATGTTTATATTGGTTGCAGCAGAGTGATGAAACCAAAATTATATAAACCTAATCTAAATGCTAGAATGAACAGAGAACTGATAAACATAAGAATGAGAATTGCATGCAAAGAAAAGCTAACACGCGTGCATTTATCCTCATACAATAACATGCACATGCATTGCTTTTCTGACTTTTTTACAGATGTTCTGGAAACATTGCAGCTTGAAGGGCTGTTTTCCTTTTAAAAACAACTGTGGCACACTTACATTCGCTGAAGTCATCAGAAAAGCAGTGCGTGTCTGAAACCAGTGATCTTTTTGACACGGCATTACCTGTCATTACCTGTTTCAGGTGTTTCGAACCAGTGATAAAGAACCAGACTGCTTATCAAGCTCAGTGCTGTCTGTTCCCTCTGCTGCCATACACTCATAAAACCTTGGACAACCGTAAAGTATACTTAAAACATATATACAACAACTTGGCCTGTATTTTCGGTTTTCCTTGTCGGGATATGTTGTTAAGAGCGAGACTGTCTTGAGTTGTTGTCGACTGTATCTTTGTGAGAGTGACGAAATAGCAGGCGTGGTGCTAGTATGCTCACACTGCATGCACTGTTATCTAGTATTTGCGGATTTACACTAGTATTATTCACTGCAGATGTTCATGGCAGACAGGCGTAGATTTGGGAGGCGGCTGTGTAAAAATATATATACAGGACTGCGAGTAAAAACCAGTGTAGTCAAAGAAACGGTTTCAATCACCAGTTGGCCGGTAACATTTTTTTTTTATTTCTAACAATGCAATATTGTGAGAACATGAACGTGAACGACACTCTGGACAGCTGACGGGATGGTGCTGAATCGTCACAAACGTTTAAGCCTTGCCAATTTAAATATTCAAACGTAAGAAGATGCGAAAGGGAACTCAATTCGTTACTCGCAGTGTGCGATACTGAATTGAGCAAATAAAACAAAATTAAACAAACAAATCAAACAAAATTGTCTAAATGCTCATCCTAGTGGGTATCCTAGTAAATATAGTCAGTTGTCATTAGTGAATGTAAACAACTCTTAAAGTGACAACAGCCTAATATTCCTGTTGCTGTCTGTGTTTTTAATGTTAATTAAACAACAAAAGACAGCAACAGGAATATTAGGCTGTTGCCACTTTTATTTATTTATTTATTTTAATTAATTTACCTGAGAATAGAATACATTAATAGAACAGGTTACACAGGATATACTTTTTTCCTCAGATAATATATTTTTTTGGAATAACCCATGTTGTGCCTTTTTTCACTGGCAAACTGTTTTTATCACTTGTTTGACTAAACCTTAGTAAATTTAGCAAAGTTTATGCTTAAAGGTGCCATCTACCATAATAAATCAAATCCTACTCCATATTCCATAACAGATGGGGGCAGTATACCTCCAAAAAATGACTTGTGCTCCTACCATCGCGCATGTTATTCAAATCATTTGACATGATAGTAAAAGGTTGGAAGACCGCAGTTTCACGTGGAACATTTGGAGATATTTAGAGATCAGAGAATCAATGAACTAAACACTAGAGTGAACTAAACTAAACACTATGAATCTCAACACTAAATGATGAAGACCGCCTCATAGATCTCAAAAACAAGCTGGTGCATTTCGACGGTATGGGAAAATAAAAGCTTGGGCAATTATTTGAAGTTTATGGTATTCGTTTTGTTCATATTACACTTTTATTGTTAGTGAATTAATTTGACAGACAGCATTCGCTGATGTTGATCAAGCTAGCGCCGTGAATTCACCGTGAGACACACGCAATTGACACTTAGCAAGCAGGTTAGTTAAGCTCTCAGATTCTGTCAATTATATTACGCAATTCAAAGAATAAATACCGTTTTGGCGCTTGTACATGTTACACTACAGATCCCTAGCGCACGTGAACCGATCGTCTACTAGCTGGAAAAAGAACATGAACTCTGTTGAAAGATACAGTATGCTACAACTTACCAAAATGTATTCCTCATGCATAATGTCGACCAATCATTTTTTGAACTCTTCCCTGAACTGAAATGTAGTAGTGGGCTGTATTTCCACACGACTGACATCAGGTTCAAGTACACACACACACACACACAAGCCGGCGCGAGCGCGACTCACTCGCGTATTGCAGTTTGGCTGGTGCGCATACCGCCTCCCATGGCCGGAACTGGTATTACGATACCTGCCGGGCCGGGGCTAGTAATTTAGCATGCTAATTCAGGTTAATATCTCGGCAGCACTATAACTTGTCAGTTTTTTAATGACATCTTTGCACTTATTTCTTCTCATTCTTTTGATGCGTGTAGCTCATTTTTCGTATATTGTTACCTCAATTATTGTATATGGCACCTTTAAATCAAGTAAACAGTGTAATTTAGTTTTAGTTTTTTAGCTAAATTTAGGCCTGTATTGTTTAAATCATGTATAATTTGTACTGAAAGATGAGACAAAATGCTCATTTAATCTTTTTTTGGACTCTTTTTTACGCATTAGGTGAAAAGAATTGTAATGGATTTTTTCCTCAAACCTAATTATTTTAGATTTGTTTCCCTAAAACTAACTATACTAGTATAACTTGTACGCTAGTTACACATGATACATTATATAGGCTAATTTCCCTACAACTTGATTGGTTCTTCATTACATAATCACAAGGTTTCAAACCTAGACTGCCTAGTTTCATTTCCCATATTTGTTATTTACACACACACACGCGCACACTCAAAGTTACAAGTTTATTGGTTTCGTACAGTACATTCTGTTCAAATGTTAGATGGTAAATAAGTTTAGATGTTAGAAATATGGTTAGTTTAATATACAGTCTAAAATTTCCACGACAGAATCCAGTTTAATTTGTCTCTTTGTCGTTGCCTCAATTACATTCCTGCTACTGTAGAACAGCCTGCAATGCTGTGAATAACATTATAAATATGAATATAAACACCAGATTTTATTTCTGGTAAAGGTGGGGCGAGGAAATGTGCACACGTGTGTGAATGTGACGACTGAGGTGATGTCAATATTTGTTGGTTCTTTCCACGGTTTTACTGCAGAGTCCCTGTGCAGTGGAGGTTTCCATTGGCACTGCCAAACAGCCCTGACTCAACTAAGGACACTGTGTGTGTTTGTTTACATGTGATTTCCACAACCCAGTGTAGTAATACAGGGTAAACTAACTGTTATGTCACAGCATTTGTATGTTTGGTGCTTTTAATGTAGTAAAAACATGAATTAGTTGGTCTATTGTGCATACATTTTGTTGTAAGTTATGGTATCTTGTTTTATGATGTCTTTAATGGCTCATCTTTTGCATATCTTTTGACAGCAACATATTTACATTCACTATGCTATCTTGAAATGCTAAAATGAAACTTAGACAACATCTTTTACCTCTCACAAGCTGGCGTTGGCAAGCGGTTGTCAAGTGCCTCACTTCCTTGCAAGCCCATAACCACTCCTGAGGAATTTATCATCTCTGGGAATACAGCGCTAGCTGCTAGCTAGCACTGTCATATAGCACTTTTGACATCTTCATGCGAATTTTAATAGTCTTATCATGCTCTGCCACAAGTCTAGGAGAAGGAAACTAACTCAAAACACATGGTTCACTGTTTCACCTTAGCCTGAAGGAAGCATCTCTCTTTCACTGCCCATGACGAGCAGCTGTTTTTGGAGTTTGTCTTGTTTATATTAAAATGAAGTAATCTCGCCTTTGTCGTTTCTTGCAGGGCTGCAACGGACCATAATGTGGACAACACCACAGCCATCCTGAGAGAATGGCTGAAGAACAGGCAGAGCAGATATCATTACGTGGAGTGGAGACCCATGGATGAGCCACGGTTGGTTAAAAACATCTCGTTTCAGAACAGATGGCTTCAAAGTCAATTAGCACTAATGGCTATTATATTATACAGTCCTTTCCCATCTAAATCTAATGATTTCCAGAACAGGAATTAAACAATTCTGTCAAAACAAACCTGTATGACCTTCTTCCATGGAACATATATATTTATAATATATTACATATTATAGATATCTGTAGAAGAAGATAAGATTAAGTTTGTTTATTATAGGAGTAAATTGGTTTTAAACCAATTAAACAGTTTTATTCAATTTTATTTTAAGAAAAAGTGTATGCATATTCTTTTCTGATGTAAGGTCATACACAGATGAGTGGGGGCCGAAACACTGGTCTCCGTCTCGTTTCAATCATCTAATGAAGCTCAGGCAGGCGGCACTGAAGACTGCACGTGAACGCTGGGCTGATTATATCCTGGTACAATGCTGCCATTCTTGTAATAGTTGACTTATTTATGTTGCATCTGTTAGACTTGTTAAATAAAACCACAAGTACTACTGTAATACTCCAACCATATTCATCAAATGCCACTCATGTTCCACAAATGATACAAATAAACTCTCTCTCTCTCTTTCTCTCAGTTTGTTGACAGTGATAACCTCCTGACCAACCCACGGGTGCTGGATCTCATGATGGCAGAGAATTTCACACTGGTGGCACCTATGCTGGATTCCCGGTCCCTCTACTCAAACTTCTGGTGTGGCATCACACCTCAGGTACAACTCTGTCAGAAAACAGACTAAAAGAGTATTATTTTAAAGGGATATTTCACCCAAAAATCATTTATTCACCCTTGTTGTTTCAATCCTGTTTGAATTTATTTCTTCTGAGGAACATATAGAAGATGTTTTGAGAAATTATATTTGTCCATACTATTATTGTAACTGGTCACCATTGTAACTTATTTTGCTGGAGAAAGAAAGTCATACAAATTTGAAATGATGTGAGGGTGAATAAATGATGACAGAATTTCATTTTTGGGTGAACTATCCCTATAAGGCAAGATTTCTTCAATAGTACACAGAATGCGTTCAAACTAATTTGTACATTCAGAATGAAGTCTAATTATGACCAGTACTTCAATAGCCTGGTTTCTCTGCCATCAACTCAGGGTTATTACAAGCGAACCCCAGACTACCAGCCTATCCGTGAGTGGAAGCGTTTGGGCTGTTTCTCAGTTCCCATGGTGCACTCCACCTTCCTGATGGATCTGAGACGTAGCGCCACGCTGGACATGGCCTTCTACCCACCTCACCCAGACTACAGCTGGGCGTTTGATGACATCATGGTCTTTGCATTCTCCGCGCGACAATCTGGTGAGAGATCTCCACTGGGTGGCTTTAAAGGTTCAATGTGTAATATTTCTGAGGATCTATTGACAGAAATGCAATATAAGATCCATAACTATGTGTATAAAGACCTTACTCAATGAACCGTTATGTTTCTATTAGTTTAGAATGAGACATTTATATCTACATAACTGCGGGCACCCCTCTCTATGAAGGTAGACATTTTGTGACGTCATGTTTCTACCATAGCTGACAGCGAACAAACAGCGCTACGGGGTGCGTTTTGTTCATACCTTGAAAGAGAAGCCGCAGAAAGCTAGAAGCTAGCCATGGACTTATAATGTCCCATTTTAGCCACCGTAGCTTCTTCGAAAGGGAGGGGTGAGCAGTGGGTTGAGCCCTTAGTGCAATTCACAACCGAACCGCTAGATGCCGCTAGATTCTACACACTGCACCTTTAACCATTAGAAATAATCTCTATTTATCTGACTTATAATTGATTTATAACTTACTATCAACTATAACTAATACTGAAAAAAAACTAGCATTTATTAATCTGATAAATTATAAATAAATGTTAAATATTAAAACATACAATGAAACTGAGAAATTGTATATTTTAAATTTTTATGCATTTGTTTATCACATATGACTATAACATAACAAAATAATATATATTAAGATTATAGATTTAGCCAGGTTTAGGCCTAAATTACGTTTACTAATTACTAAATTACTAAAAGATTACTGGTGTGCATCTTAAGACAAAACAATAGAACTGGTATTTTTCAAGATATGTCAGTGCAAGTTGCTTTCAGTTAAAACCGCTCAAACGTGCATTTTAGTTTAGGACTACGCTTAAGTCTTGTCCGTGAAACTAGGGGAAAATGTTGAAAATGTGTTGGTGTATGCAGAAACTAACAGTGAGCTTCAGAAGTATTTTTTAATTGTTAGTTCGTGATAACCTAATGCATTTAATATTGTTAAAACATTGGCCATTATTGCAAGTGTTACCATTTTATTACTAAAGTGCATGAGTTGTTTTTGTAATGAGTGTTTTGAAGCACAGAATATTTTCAGAGCAAACAGAAAAAGGCAGTTAAAGTGGCGTTCCCCTGTTTTTGGGACCCAGAACAGACACGGATCAGAACACAACACATAATTCAGAGCACCTCCAACTGTCCGGTTCCAGTATATGTTGCTGAGAGAGGGGGGTTTGTGTTAGTGAAGCGTCAATGCCGGATAACCCTGTGGTTAATATAACCAGCTCCAGCTGGGTGTTTTATGGCCTCTTTGGGTGTTTGTGGATCTTACATTGAGGAAATAATGAGAGAGAGAGAGAGCATGCATGCAGTTGAGCATACAGTAAATCCAGAGAACTCACAGCTAACACAAAGTCGATAAATCAGGATTCCAAACACACCCATGAATACAAATAGTAACAGCACACAAACACATATTAATGATGTAACACCCATGTTTCTAATTGTATTGGGTGGGATAAACAGTGTTTGCGAGCAGATAATTTCCATGAAGTGTATGTATTATGCTGTTGTTTTTCTCTGTAGGTGTACAGATGTACGTGTGTAACAGAGAACATTACGGTTTTCTGCCTGTACCTCTGAAGGCCCAGCAAAGTGTTGAAGATGAGAAGGAGAGTTTCATACACACCATCACTGAGGCCATGAGTAAGTATTATACAATTATACAATTATTTATTAAAGAATGGATGCTCATTCATTCATTACAATTCAAAAGTTTGAAGTAAGAAAATAGTCTCTTTTCTCACCAAGCTACATTTATTTAATCAAAAATACAGCAAAACAGTAATATTGTGATTTATTATTACAATTTAAAATAACTTTTTTTATTTTATTATATTTTAATGTGTTTATTCCTGTGATGTCAAAGCTGAATTTTCAGCATCATTACTCCAGTCTTCAGTATCACATAATCCTTCAGCAATCATTATAATATCCGGATCAGATTCTCAAGGAACAATTCTTATTATCAGTGGGCAAAATGATTAAAAGTTCAAATAGAAATCTTGGGTAACATTATAGATGTCTTTACTGGCATTTTTAAATCTATTATCTATTTAATGCATCTTTGCTGAATAAAAATCTTAATTTCCAATATATATATACTGATCACATACATTTGAACTCTCTATTTGAATTTTTTTTTTGTCATAGAGGTTTTTATGCTGAGCTTATATTTTCTTCTCTTTGCCTTTACCCTAAACCTAAAACTCACTGAAACCTTTGTGAATTATTATGTTTTCATGGTGACATTGAATATGTTTATAAATGTATTTTCTTCTTGGGGACTGTTGCCTGGTCCCCATACCATTGCCAAACACACATAATGAACAACACCCTGGCCACTGCCCCTAATAAACCACCCTTTTTCCAGCACTTCAACTCTTTTACACTTTATATTTTCAACCTCCATTAATTGGAGGATGCATTTTTTTTGTTATGTAATTTTGTTATGTTCCAATGTATAGACCAATTCACAAGATGTAAACAACACTGGTCCAGAAGCACTTCCTGTTTCAGTTTTTTAACACTACATAAAAGCTGGGATAAAATACAACCAACAGAACATTTAAAACTGAATCAAAAAGTTAAACAAACATCTTTAAGATTTTTTTTTACATGTAAAATAAAGAAAACAGTTACAAACTGAAACTGGAAGTGTTTCTGGACCAGTGTTGTTTACATCTTGTGAAATGGTCTATAACTGTCAGATGTGCATTTAATCAATGTCAAATGCCTTTTCTTACAGTCGATCATAACATAAAACCCTCCGAGTTCCTCTTCACTCCACCCAAACCCCAGGACAAGATGGGCTTTGATGAGGTGAGAGAATCTCTGGAATGCCTTGCTTGACTGGACACTCATGATAGTTATCCTGCAGAGAAACTTCAGCTGATTTAAGCTTCTTTGAAGTGACATTTTCTTATTTTGTCCTGCTTCATTCGTCAGACTCTCTCGTTCTCTCTTTTCCCCTCAGATCTTTCTGATTAATCTGAAGCGGAGGTCGGACCGGAGGGAACGGATGTTGAACACAATGGCGGTGCTGGGTATTGAGGCTACGCTGGTTGATGCTGTAGATGGGAAGTAGGTCATCAAGGGGACGTTCTGTGGCATCACATTTATGATGTTTGGGTATTTCGAAATGTGGCAGAACAATTCATGTGAAAGTGCTTCCAGTTTTGTTGATCTTACCTTCTATACTCTCTTAGGTCACTGAATACATCTCAGCTTCAGGCTCTTGGTATAGAGATGATCCCGGAATATAAAGATCCGTACTCCGGTAGGGTTCTGACACGCGGAGAGATTGGCTGCTTCCTCAGCCACCACTTCACTTGGATACAGGTAAAGACACACTCGCATATAAACAAAAATGTGGCACTTTAAAAAAACAGGGTAAAGATTGTCCAAAGTAATTTTTTTGACTTTTTCAATAAACATGTAGTGGTGTCCTTAAAGTCCCACTGTAGTCAGTATACTGAGTTTTATGAATATGCAAATCAGCCCCACCTCCACTCACTCACACCAGCTCAGAGATCCACTCGTTGACGATCACACGTTGACATGATTGGTTACAAGGTCGTTTGTAATGTCAGAAACACCAGTGATTTCAAACTGCGTTTTTGAGACTGTCTTTGGTTCACTGCAGTTTTAAGGAGAAAATACTCAGCAATTGTGAATTAGCACATGGTTTGTCTTAAAGTTTATTAAAAACACTACATAGACATATAAACAACATTGAAAGCTTGATTTTCGCCACAGGGGGACTATAAGCAAATGCTGATTGTCAACATCAGGATGTCAAACTAAATATCAATAGATTAGAGTGACTTTAGTTTCTTTTAATTTTTATACATAGTTTGGATTTCTTTTGTTTTTTTTTTTTTTTCTTCTCTTCTTTTTTTCCATAACGTCAAATAAATGAAACATGAAAATGATTTGGGAAAAAAATTAAATGGGAAATGTATACTTCTCATAAATTAAAGAATAATATTGGTTTAATACCTTTGTATTCTTATAACTTATGTAAAGAGTTGAATTGTTGAGCTTGATATTCTTTCAAGACTAAGATTTGTATAAAAAATTATGTATTTTTTGTTAGATAATTTTTTTTCTTTATCAGGTTTATTTAACACATCTAATAATTATCACAAAAAAACAGAATTTGAGCTTCTACTACTTTAAAACAAAGACCTTGTTTGCTGAATGTGCTCTATATTTGTACACACACACACAGGGACACTGGAATTCCTGTGTCTTTGTTTTGCCTTTAATGGCATCTTTTAAGATTATGGCTGTTAGTTTTTAACATAAACCAAATGTATTAATATAGTATAACTGTACAGTTAATCTCAGCTAAAAAGCAACTCTCCAGTAAATGTTACCATTTGCTGAAACAATTATTTCAAAAGACAGCGTGTTTCCCGTTTAGTCCCAGTAGTTTACAGGTGCACAATGTGTGTAATAGGTGGTGGAGAGGGGTCTGCGACATGTGCTGGTGTTGGAGGATGACGTGAGGTTTGAGCCTCGGTTTAAGAGGAGGTTACAGACCGTCATGGAGGATGTTGAAAAAGCTCAGCTGAACTGGGACCTCATGTAAGAATAACAACATCATATAACAAGCACATAACACCTTTTCACCGCTCACAAAAACATCTTTCTACATCTCTACATCTCGCTCTTTCTTCGTCTTTCTCCATAGATATGTGGGCCGTAAGCGGATGCAAGTGGCTCAGCCGGAGGTGTCTGTAGAGGGTGTGAATAACTTGGTGAAGGCCGATTACTCATACTGGACTCTAGGTTACGCTCTTTCACAGCAGGGGGCCAAGAAACTCCTCGCTGCTCAGCCACTTGGCAAGATGCTCCCTGTAGACGAGTTTCTGCCAGTCATGTTCAACAAACACCCTAAGTAAGTGGGATGGATGGATGGATGGATGCTTATTTCTAAATGACAACGATTCTGCTGTCTATTAATCCTTTGAAAAGTACGATCACATCTGACCCAGAGAGCAGTTGTCATGTGTAGGTATAAAACAGCATCACAAACAGTCCTTTCAACCACACAAGAATCACTATTTCTGTGTCCCAGTAATTAAAATTGTACACAGAAGTACTGAGATAAAAGTTTATTGTTCAGATATGAACACTGGTGTCTACATTAGCGATCAAAATAGAGTAAATCACCATTTTGAGGGTATCTTGACACTCTCCACTTCAAATAAAGATTATATCAATGACATTGTTACATCAGTAGGTTGCGAACTTGCGACAAGTGACTGAAAATGTTTACCATTGAATTTCATTCAAGAGATTCATTTAAAAACGCTAATCCATCCAGTAATGAAACAAGTGAAGTCTTCATGAGTGAGTCACTGAATCATTCATTCAAACTGACATTATTTTGTTTAAATGATTCAGAGTTTTGTGATTCTCAATTTATCCATAATCATGCTGCGATAGATAGATATATTTTTTGCAGCGGTTACGCATAGGCACACACTGAGGCTGTATTGCTGAGTGGCACAAACACAGTGGTAGATTGTTCAGAGTGAGAAAATAAGTATGGTGTCCCTGCTGGGTCACACAATGACTGCCTTTCTACCTCAATTCCTCTAGTGGGAGAACTGCTTAGGACTGGCTACGCCCCCATATCTGTCGCCTTTACTGGCCCTTCTCTTTCTCTCCTTCAGAACCCTGCGGTCCTTCTCCCCTGTTGTCTAGCATTCTCTGGCTTCCCCCGTCTCCCTGCTCTTTCTTTGAGGAATTTTGGGAAGGGCCAGTTCTTCCTGTTGCCCCACGTTAGAGGGACAAAATTCCCATTGATAGCTGAGTTTGGGGGAAGGGCCATTGGTATAAGACAGATGGATTACTGTATAAATATACTTCACTTTCTCTGTGTGTGTGTGTGTGTGTGTGTGAGAGAGAGAGGGTGAGATAAAGACTCATTGTGTACCCCAAGTGTGTGAATTTACTCTTGTATATATGCATAAAGTGTTGTAAATAATGCAATGTTTTCATGTCCTATGGAGATTGTCTAGCATAGCCATCATATAATCACAGAATCATTACTAAATATAATATAAAATATATACATTATGTAAATATTAATTGTGACATTATATACTCTACCGTTCAAAGTATGGGGTTCAAGATAAAGATTTTTTTTAAAGAAATCAAAACTTGCATTTCTTTTGGACTTTTGTTTAAAATATAATAGTTTAAAAAAAATTAAATAAACAACACAACTGTCGTCAGCATTGATAATAAAAAGAAATTTTCCTTGAGCATGAGATCAGCATATTAAAATGATTTATGAAGGATCATGTGGCACTGACTAACGTAATGATGCTGAAAATTCAGCCTTGGCATTTATTTTTCTAATATAAATAAAAAACTGTTATTTTAAATTGTAATATTTCACAATATTACTGTTTTAACATATTGTTTTTTAAATAAATACTACCTTGGTGATCAGAAGAAACATCTATATATAAAAAAAAAAAAAAATTCAATAATAAACCATAAATAATTTATCCACTATTTTTTTTCTTCCTGTCTGTATTTTTTTCCCATGCCCTTGCTTTTCTCCCCCCTTATCTTTGTTCTCTCTCTCTCCCAGTGAGGCATACATGTCTCACTTTGATCCCAGGGATCTTCGTGCTTTCTCTGTTGAGCCATTGCTGTTGTACCCAACACACTATACGGGCGAGCCGGGTTACTTCAGCGACACTGAGACGTCCACTATTTGGGATGACGATGCTGTCAACACAGACTGGGACAGACAGTATGCCCAAAAAACTGCCCAGCAGGCACAAATTCGCTCCGTCGCCCAGAACAGTGTCACCGGGGACACACCACCGCCTGCATCCCGAGCCTCGCGAGACGAACTCTGAGTTCTCTATGTGTTCTCGAACTACACAACTGAATGGCAAAACACACTGATTCATTGACTGCTCACTCCACAATTTCCAGCAGTCCTCTCCTCCTTGGCGACACATCAGCCAATAGCATGACAGCTGGCTGGGATGCTTGAACACCATTGGCTGGCTGGTTGATTTTGCACAAAGACACACAAGCTCTTTTTGTTTCCACTTTATTTATTTCATCATGCCTTCCAGAGACATTAAGGGACCAAACTGTCCCTGATGGACACTTCAATGAGTGTTTGATGGATGAGGAGACTGCCGAAGGACTGGGCAGAGAAACACAGACATATGATAGTTAGATTTGGTTTTGCTTGACAATGTACAAGACAGATCTTTATTTTTAAGTTTTCTTTTTATATTGTAATATAAAAATAGATACATGCGCAGTGTTTATTAAAAGAATCGTCCGCGTTTCTACTGTATATTATCAGGAAAGAAATAATATTTTAAGTTGATGTATTTTAATAGCATCACCAAATCACTTTTAAATGTCATTCATGTGTCAAGTATATTTTAGAGCCAAAAATTAAGAGCATTGATTACATACGTTTGGTTGGAAGTTGTTCAAATCTGCAGTTTTCACATGTTTTTAAGTTGTACTGGATTTAAAACCCTGTTTAAGCCATAGAAGGAGAACGTTGAACATTGAAGACACACACTGGTCATTAAGTATGTGAATGAATGAATTTTAATGAATCAGCTGTAAAAAAAATCTATTTCAAAGTGTGTGTAAGACAAGTGGTGCTTTTGTGTTATTGTTAACATCTTATTTTCACTAAGTGCTTCCAGAATATTCCTGGTGGCTCAAAAAGACACATATTCCATGTATCTTAAAAAGAGTGTATGATTCATGGGCATTATGTCATGTATAATAATTAGAAATAGCTCTCATTTTTCGGGACACACTTGTATTTTTCCACTCAGCAGGCTGGCTCCTGTTCTCTGACTGTCTATTTCACTACCTTCTTTGAAGATGTCTTGGTGCTGGTGGTGGGCTGATTCAATAAAACTGACCGATCATAATATAATGCATCTAATTACGTCCAGGAAAGCTTCAGATTCATATTGATATATCAGCAACCTTTTTTATGCTTTCTTAGTTAACTGTCATCTTGAATAATGTACTTCCAACAGCCTCTGGCTGTTTCTAAACTCTCATAGATGTGTTTGAAACCTCCATTCAGTGTAGAAGGGTTGAGTTGTTGTTAAAAATGGGCCGCTCGTGCATTTGGCTACCAAAACATGGCACATTCTAGCTTGCCATTTCAGAATGTGCCATTTTATTTGTTCAGTGAGTCAATAAGAGATGTTTATTCATAATTTTGCCGGTGCTAAAATGTCAAGTCCGTGCCATCTCTGCCATTAGTTTATTTTAACTGATACATTTAGTTCTCTTGACATTATTGAGACAGGATAAAGAGCGGGAAGGCCTTTTGTTTTTACACATCAGTATGGGAATCATAACATGACACAAATATGTAGTAGCTACAGTAGATATCTTGCTATATTATTTCGGTAATGTAGGCTACACTTTCACTATGGAAATATTAAAAATATATTACACTATAAACGCTCAACGCAGTCTGTTTCATAAGTGAGTGGCAATATTTTGTTTGATAGTTCCTTCGTGCTGTAATGTTTGGAGACCCTGCCATCTGCTGGAGCACAGTGGTATTGCAGTTTGTCTGTGAGGTTCATAGAAATGGTGGGCAATGGTGAGTCAAAACATTACTTTTAAATCGGTGTCCTTGGAATGAGGAATGTTATCTGTCCTCTAGAGACATTTAAAGTAAAAAGTTCCTCAAGTAAAGTAACGTTACAGATAGTCAAAAAGTGTAGCCTACAGTGGGCCTATGTAGGCCTACTTTGTTACTGTCCACCGGTACACAGAGTAGCCTATCACTGTGTAAGTTCATGAACCAGCATATGTTATTTGTTTGTATGTTAAATGCATTATCACCCTATCTTAATGATGATCTAACTTCACTACATTTGAAAGACAAATATCATACTTTTTACTCCACAACATTTTTGTCAAGGTCCTTGAGTAGAAAGTAGTAACGTCAGTCAGGGGATGATTTTGGTTGCAGGGGTTGCATTTTGGTTGGAAATAAGTAGGAATTCAGAGGCATAAGGTACTGTAAGTATTACATACAACAATGCAATAATAATAAAGCAATGCATTGACATTTACTTTTAAAAAACAAGTGCTGCTTTTTTGTGTGTGTATGTGTATTAAGTAGCCTACAGAAAAACAGTGTATTTAAGTGTGTTGTGTCTTATAGGTGATGCATTTCCTAACACACACATAATGTAACCAAATATATCCTCACAAACAAGCCACTGTGACTAATGTTTTTACTATGAGAGGCATGAAGGAAGTACTTGATTTTTTTGTGTTTGTTGTCACTACTTTCCATCAAGACCACATGTTGAAAAGAATTGTTTATCGTGTTATGCTGTTAAGACACTCGGCCTGTATATTATAGCTTTTTACCTATTTTAACCTGACAAATGTGCTTGCTTATGCAGATTATTTATTGAATTTCTGGGGATTCAAATAAATAATTAATTTCTAAGCAAATTTACAAAAAACCACCAGTAATTTCCACTTTCACCCAGATGATTTTTTTTATTCAAATATAAAAAAGAACAATAACAAAAACCAGGCTAAATACAAAACCAGACTTGACCTGACTCACGTGACTTGTCAAGTCATAATAAAACACTCTCAAAACCAGTTTTAACAAATTAAACAGTCTGAACAAATTTAACCACATATATATTCTCATTAAAACACATTGATCAGAATAATGTACAAATACTTAATAATTGACACCATCTGTATTGTAAATACCACCACATCAATATATTCCCTATCAACAAATGCTAATCATTGTGAAATGTGATTAAAAGCTGATCAAGCTTTTACAAATCTGCAACAAGACTAATGCAATAGAGCTTGAGTAGGGTCTTCATTTGTAATCTGTTGCTCTCTCTGACTCTCTACAACACTTTGTCCATCATTGTGGATCTCGTCATACCCCCTGCTTGACCTGAAGTGAGAAAACCTCCTCCTTCGTTTCATTAAGAGGACAATTCCTGCCATCACAACAGCGATCACAGTCATTACACCACAGGCTACACCAGCCTTTTCCCCTCCTGACATCCGGGTAGACGACGATTCGAACATTGTGGTCATTTGATTGACTTCACCAGGTTTTGCTAGTCTCCATTGTTTGGTTTCTCCAACCCTTACCCAAGCCCGATCACCTTCTGTCATCACAGCCACAGTGTTTGTCGCCATCATGTTGACCAGAGGTGGTTTTGTGAATGGTGGGAGGCGAATAGGTTTTAACTGGCCACCAGTAAACTCGTCTGATTGGACACAGTACAATACCTGACAGCCATCACTAATGGCAGCAAGATGTTGGCTGTACTGAGGTGGACAACGGTATTCACCCCTTGCAAGAGGGTTGCCAGATTGGCAGCTAAAGAAACCCCCAAAAGGCACAGAAGATATTGTTCCTGCCTCGTAGTCATTGCTCAAACAAATCATCATGCCATTAGTCAAAAATACTTGTGCAAAGTAATTAGGAGGACAGTCATGAGATTTGGTCAATGGGTTTTGCAAAGATTGTCCGAATAGACCTCCAAAGAGGTATCCAGAGTATGGAGGGACTGTCTGATTTGTGGAACACCAGTAAGTGTCAATTTTTGCACTACGGACGTAGTAAGCATTTCCACATACATTGTCACAACAATCGAAAATTAACCAGCATGAATGGCATTTCTTATGGCACTCATATTTATTGTAACTCTGCTCTACTGTCTCTGAGTGTAACAAAAAGGAAGCATACGGTTGGCGGCAAGAATAATCACCAGTATTTGAATTTTTTTGCGCGAGCTCGTCACAGATGACATTTCCGTCAGCCGCAGATGGAGTGCATATTTGGTAAACTCCACCAAAGGTCAAATTGGTGACAGGACCTTCGCAGGATTTGTCATCTACATTGGCCTGAAAGTTAAAGTTTGGGGAATTTTGATCTACACATCCTGGAATGGTGTTTATATTGTAGTAGCGCTCTGCAGCCTTTTGGACTGACAAGGCCAGTTTTTGTAAAGTTGGAGCTGGAAGGTCAGGAAATGCGGATGGATTGAGGAAATAGTGCAGTGGCATACCAGAACGGTCAATAGCCACAAGGTTGTTTTGCGTGCTCTCTTGCCACTTCTGCAAAGTGATGCCTTGGTAGAATAAAGCCCCACCATGGCTCTGAACTATAGAATATGTAATGTTTTGCTGGTAACTGAGGGTTTGAGAGGTTTCCTGGGTTTCCTTGCTACCAAAGTTAAAGTTTACCTTGTTAAAAAAGTTCAAGCCTGCTGATGCAGAGACAGAAGTCTGGTCTGACTCACTGTTAGAGACATAAGACCTTTTTATATAGTCTTCTTGGACCAAAGTGGCACCGGCATCGATTCTTGTGATGACATGGGTACCGTAATCAAGTATGAGTTTCTCTGACAGATAATTTACTTGACGCGTTTGATTGTTCTCAGTAGCGTCTGCGATTTCCACTATCTGCTGAGCAAAGCGGGAGTCCAGAGTAAAGTCAGGATATGCATTAACAGTGTAGAGATGGTTGCGTACCTGAGAAAATATAGTAGAAAAGACAAAACAATTGAAATAAAAATTAAACCCTTTTCCTGGTCAATTTAATTTATTTTTTTTTTAACTAAAAAATAAAGAAATACATAGGAGCAACTGACTGGGGTATACATATTGTCTTCTTATTTATTTAATGAAAAATCCTCTTGAAATGAAAGCATTCATTATCATTGTTAATTAAGTTTATAAATTAATTAAAGTAGATTCAAATAAATTTGCTGCCTTTTTAGAGTGAAAGATCATTGTGAATATATGTAGGCCTATATTTAATATTAGTCAATACAGAACTTATCCTTGAACAGACACATCCTCAGATTATGACGTGGACATAATGACCAGTCCAGATTTTTCCACTTTAACGTGAAATGAAACTGAAAGAGAGCGTAGCGCTTGCGAAGGTCAACGCATATTGCGTAGGCTACGCTTCGAGATTGCGCTCCTTTTTACAAATAACAATTAATCATTACGTGTTCATTTTAAATCTCCCATATCAATGTAATAATTGATACATAATAAAAGAATCAAAGTGAACAATTAAGTTCACTAAGTTCACAAGTTAACAATTACTATTTTATTTTGGCTTTTTAAAAAAGGTTCTGACTTACCTGAACTCGTGTTGTTACGGAATTGCCTCTCACTTGGTGTGTTTTCATGCGTGTATTTTCTTCAGAGAATTTTCCGTTTAGTACAGGAGGGAAGGAAATGTCTGCATTGATGGATCCTGATGTGGAGCTTTTCTGTTCCAGCCATGACATGATGGTCTCAGAGTGAGTTTCCACTCCGCTTGTTTTCCGTGGAATAACAAAGACTTCATCTGGGATAAGATAAAGTCCATCCTCTGTGGTCTGGCACTGGGAATAGCTCAAGTTCATCACCCGTCCCATGTCTATGTTGCGCAGGTTATCCCACCCTCCACCTGGAAGCACCTCTAGTGCTGTTAAAGTTGAGTTTATACGACATTCGCGGAGGCCATTACTAGGACGAATAAACGCATTAGACTCGAAGACAGCGACGAATATTATCAGTAAAGTATGTAGGCTTAATTGCTTCATGGTGGTGTGTGGGGAACTGACTGACTGATTCTGTCCTCAGGATTTTTTGTCTTTATCTATTACTAACAGGAGGTGTGGCCTTGGGAAATTTTGTTTTCATATTCAAGTTAAGACATATTGTACAAGCTTTTTTATTGTATGCTACATTGTTGTCTGCATTTGTTAGAATAATTTATGAATGTTGTGTTTTATGTAGACTGCACAAAAACAGTTGAAGACCAACTAGACCCTTTTAAACCAGCTAAGACCCACCAACTAAAGTTTTTACTGTTGAATATAGTAACTTTTGGTTTCATTTTGTTGGGAATCTCCAAAGTTATGCATGTTGTGCAGTTGGTTATTTTTAATGAAATCTGAGAATTCTGTCACTTCATTGACAGTCTACTTTGTCGCTTCAAAAAAGTTCATAAAGTGATTGTTGTCATTTTGCATCGTTAATTTGGGCAGACAGGAAAGATCCACACTGAAGTTGCTGGTGCTGCTGCTGCGTCGAAGTCAAACTTCTGGGTTTGTGTTTTCGCGTTTTCAAAATGGCCACCAGGTGAATAAGGCGAATAGCCTACACTCTAGTCTTGGTGCAAAAGCTGTCACTGGGACGGTACCCTATAAAAAGGTGAAAAGTTAAAGTGACATGAAGGCCAAGAATGGTAACCCAGACTTGTCCTCTGCTTTTAACCCATCCAAGTTAGTACACACACATTAGGAGTGCACACACACTGCAAACCATGGGGACAGACACCTGGAGCAGTGGGCAGCCATTTTTGCTGGTGCACCCGAGGAGCAATTGGGGGTTAGTTTCCTGCCTGTATTGAGAATCAAACCCACAACATTCGGGTTGCCAGTCTGACTCTAACCATTGCCACTACTGCCCCCTGTATACTGTGTCCTTTTTATATACTAATATGTATACTTTTGGTAACATGCACCTTTAGTACTAATTTGAATAGGTACCTTTTGAAAGGGTACCACCCCAGTGACAGCTTTTGTACCCTTTTTCTGGCAGTGCTATCATCACCAATGATGTAGCTACATACTTGACTAAATTGCTGTCCAGTACTGAAATAATTATATATTTAACTGAGAAAAAAGGAATTTAAAACTTGAGTGTAATGGCATTAAAGAGGCTACTCAAACCTTCTGCTGGGTTATGGGTGGCACTGTTACGAACTGCTTTGAGACACATACTGTACACTTTATTTTCCATCACAGATCATGAGAATGCTGAAAGTCTACAGCTCACTTATCCATGCATGAAGACAAATGCTTAGAAAACTGTCCCAACTGGTTTCAACTTTTATCTACAATTTGTTTTTTTTACACAAGCTTATAAAAAGCCTCACAACAGGAAACAGCCAAGAGAAATTAAGACTAATATTCTTCATAGCCCTGCATTTATATTTCTATTGACCAAGTAACTAAGTATAAGTAATTAATTACTGTAATTGAATTACCTTTCAATTGAAAAAGTAAAGTAAAGGATTACTCCTAATTTTTCTGTAATTTAATTACAGTTTTTTATTGTTCAACTGGTTGAGACTGATATGGGATCTAAGTAGCCTAATTAGTAATGCAGTACTTTTTACAGAGAGTTATTAGCCACCTAATCGCGCTGTTGAAGATGTAATTAGTTGTTGGTATTTTTTAGAGTACATTCAGAGCCTGTTTTGACAGCTAACAAGATAGGCTAGGTAGGTGTTAGTGTCCTCTCAGTCAACTTAAAAAAAGATAATGAGTAGGCCTACCTGTTAAGTAACAATCATTTTCAGTTACTGAAGCAATGAAGATGCTATTCGCAGTCATCCATGATTGAGTGATTTCATTAATGAAAGTGTTCACTCACTAAGGGTTAACCGAGTAGTTGGCATAATTCGAGTAGCAAGCTATTCGACTGGTCATATGATCTCAACAGGAAACAGGCGACAGACGCACTCACTCCGTGGAATGAACATATTGTAATGTGAAAAACACTGGTGTACTAATACTAGTAATAGTAGTACTAGAAAGTACTAGAAATACTTTATATTCGGTTTATATTTTCGGCTCAGTTTATATTCGTGTTTTTTTTTTTTCTTTCACCCCTTTCAAACACTATAATAAAGCATACACTTAGGCTTAGGCATTAGTTATCCATGACATTAAGGGTCACTTAAGGTATCAGCACAATGGTGATTACTTGTTGTGGATAATTTGTTGTAATGTGTATGCAATTCCTCCCTTGTCCACTTGATGGTGGTAGACGACAGCAGTAGTTTGAGCACACCGTTTGTTTTTATAGTATAGTCTTGTTGGTCTTTGAAGTAATTTTTTTTATAAAATATTTTGGTAGAAACAAGTATTTTATTCTAAGCCATATTATTTCACATTTAAAGTCTCTTTTAGGGTATTTTATATACACTTTCGTGGATTTTTTTGACAGTTAGCTTGTCCTAGTGAACTTTACCCTCAGAGAGCTAAATCCTGCAAGAGGTCCTCGCTGCAGTCTGTAGCACGATGACGTAGCTGGACGGTCCAATACGTGTTGGACCCTGTAACGCGCGCATGCGCACTAGTCAAGTCAAGTAATCTTGATTTATATATCGCTTTTAACAATTTAGATTGTTTCAAAGCAGCTTTAATTTAATGTAACAGATTGTTTTTGCTTTATAGCGGTTCATGAATAATGTTATTTAACAGCTAGTTAGTTTTGATTCTGTCGAAATGATAATTTGTTATTAAATTAGGGGATGACACCGTTCTCTCTATACAGACTTCAAACGCGATCCTGTGATAAACGCTGATGGCACATGCACATTAAGAATTCATAGGCCTAGTTAGAGAGTTGGTGAACAATCGTTGATCTTCCAAGAATACATTTAAATATGGTCACGAGCGAAGCTCTTATTTTCAGAGCTTTCAGAATAAAACTTTTTTTTTAATAATTGCGACTTTTTCCTTACAATTGCGAGTATACTTTTCGCAGACTTTATTTCTCAGAATTGTGAGATATAAAGTCAGAATTGCGTGAAATAAAGCCTCAATCGCATGTTATAAAGACATTGCTTGAAATAAAGCCTCAATCGCATGTCATAAAGACATAATTGCTTGAAGCCTCAATCGCATGTTATAAAGACAGAATTAGGTGAAATAAAGCCTCAATCGCATGTTATAAAGACAGAATTAGGTGAAATAAAGCCTCAATCGCATGTTATAAAGACAGAATTAGGTGAAATAAAGCCTCAATCGCATATTATAAAGACATTGCGTGAAATAAACTAAAGCCTCAATCGCATGTTATAAAGACCGAATTAGGTGAAATAAAGCCTCAATCGCATGTTATAAAGACAGAATTGGGTGAAATAAAGCCTCAATCGCATATGTTATAAAATACATAATTGCTTGAAATAGCCTAAGCCTCAATCGCAAGATGATAACAATAAAGACATAATTGCGTGAAATAAAGCCTCAATCGCATCTTATAAAGACAGAATTAGGTGAAATAAAGCCTCAATCGCATGTTTTAAAGACAGAATTAGGTGAAATAAAGCCTCAATCGCATGTTATAAAGACAGAATTGCGTGAAATAAAGTCGCAATTGTGTACTATAAAGTCAGAATTCTGACCTTTTTTTCTCGCAATTCTGAATGTATAACATAAACGCGAGTTTATTATTACAAGATTTATTTTCCTCATGCTGTTATTATTTTAGCATTTTCCTTACTTATTCATCAATAATTACTTATAATTATTTAACAGAATTATACTACACAGTTTGAACATCATCTCAGTACAATATTGAGCTTACATATCACTTAAAACCAATGCATTTGAATTATAATCAGAGATCGGCACTGCGCATGCGTAAATGACGTCACCAAAACACATCCATCCACTACGTATTAGACCATCCAGCTACGTCATCGTGCTACAGGCTGCAGCGAGGGGTGTCTCAAATCCTGTGATTTACAAGGGTGTTATATGTCCAGTGTGTCCCGCATGGATGCCCTCATAAGCACTTTTTGCTGATAAAAACAGCTATACTGAAAAAACACTTCACAGTGTTCATGGATGTTTTATGAGCAGTGAGCATGATGTTCCTACTTTTAAGTGTGAACAACAAATGCTTAGTTCTTAACATAGCCTTTGCATGTCTTGTGTTGCCAAGCTGTATTGAAATAAAGAATATAACTTGGGTGATATAACTTGTTTAAGTGTGTTTGAGTGTAAGTGTAAAAGCCAAAAAAATTGTGCCAGCTGTGTAAACTTCTGCACACCGCACTATGGCTATGTCAGCAAACTGTATAGATCAAAATGTACCAACTGAGAGACTCTGGAAGCTGAGAAATTTCAAAACAGTTTAGATGGGTGTTGAGCTCTGCCATGAGGACAGAAGTTGGATTGAACAACGGAGAAAGGAAACAAGGAAGGAGGAGGGGGAGAGAGTGAGAGAGGAACCCACAAGGTTGAAAGCGAGGGGATTCAGGTCCCTCATTCTGTGGTCCACAATAAGATACTCTTAAATATTGAACAATAGATGAGGAGCCTGAGGATATGAAAGAGAAAATCAATGGCATTCTGGTTTAATTGGTTGATTTATTCTCCAATCTTTGCTTTTGAATGTGAGCATGGGTGAGAGAGAGAGAGAGCATAAAGCTTGAAGTTGAAGCACATACAAATGTTAAGGGTTATATAAGTTAAGCTTTGTATTACCTCATTTAATATTATGGACTTGTCTCTCATTCTTTAAAAACAAACAAAAGTTTTCTTTATGAAAGCAGAAGGCATTGCACTGGAATAAACTAAAAAGTAATTTTGTATTTTATAATTTTATCAGTATAGGACAGAATTTTATTTCATTAATTTTATCCACCTTGAGCAGTAATCCGACCACTACTAGAACCTTATAACCCACATCGTACTGAAAATATAATTTTGAGTTCCATCATATCAAAAAGCGGGACATTTCTGCTTTTAAACCCTCTGAAATGTCTTCTATTGTAAATGAATTACATTAAACATAATGTCTTTTCTTGCAACCTAAGGCACTAATCAAAATGATTGCCCGGATTAA